AGGCCACTGGACTTAGTTTGCTAATATTTGATAGGATTTTTTTCATTTTTGTCCATAAAGGGTATGATCTGTAGTTTTCTCATCTGCTTTTGTTATCAAGGTATTTTTGTGGAATAAGGAAGTGTTCCTTCCTCTTTGAGGAAGAATTTGAGAAATATTGGTGTGCATTTTTCTTTGTGTCTGGTGGAGTCTACCAGTGAGTTCATCTGGTCCTGGGTTTTCTTTATTGAGAGTTTTGGATTATTGATTTGATCTCTGTGTATATCTGTAAACTTGACAGTTTCATCTAGGTTATCTAACATGTTGGTATGCAATTGTTCATTGTATTCTTTCATGATCCTTTTTGTTTCTATAAGGTTGTGATTAATGTTTTCACTTTCATTTCTGACTTCCGTAATTTGAATCTTCTTTTTGTCACTCTAGCTAACAACTTGTCAATTTTGTTGACCTTTTCAAGGAACCAACTTTTGGTTTTATTGATTCTCTGTGTAGTTTTTCTCTGTTTTGTTTGTCTCTCTTCTAATCTTTTCTTTTCTTGCTTTGGTTTAGTTAGCTCTTTTTCTAGTTCTGTTTTTGTTTTATTTTGGTTTGGTTTTTTTGGAGTTATAGGTGGACAGAATGCCTTTATTTTATTTGTTTATTTTTATGTGGTGCTAAGAATTGAACCCAGTGCCTCACACATGCTAGGCAAGTGCTCTGCCACTGAACTACACCCCTAGCCCCTTTTTCTAGTTCTTAAGGTGTAAAGTTAGGTTATTGAGCTGCAATCTTTCAGTCTTTCTGTTTGAATATAGGCATTTTTGTCTATACATTTCTAGCTGATCACTGCTTTTAGTGCATCTTCTAAGTTCTGGTATGTTATTTTCATTTTTGTTTGTCTCAAAGTATTTTATCTTTTTTATGGTCCTTGGGACTGAACCCAAGGGTGCTCTACCACCAGGCTACATACCCAGTCCCCGACCCTTGTTTTTGAAGCAGGGTCTTGCTAAATTGCCCAGGCTGGCTTCTAACTCGAAATCCTTCTGCCTCAGCTTTCCAAGTCGCTGGGATTACAGGTGTGCTCCACTACGCCTGGCTCAGTGTTTCTAATTTCTCCTCTGATTTCTTTGTCCCAGCGGAACTTAGGGTACTTTATAGCCCAGAAGGTCAAAGATCAGCTCCTTCTTGCCACTCGTGACCTGCAAAGTGGAAGTTTGAGAGATCCTTTTCCTTTATGTTAGGAGTCCCCAGCAGGCTAAAGGTTGGCCTTACTCTAGATAAGCAATGAGGGCTGCCAAAAGATTGTTCCATGGTGAGCCACTAATGACCACGGGGGGCACAGTGTTCCAAAGAGTGCTCTGCACTCCTTAGCAACTGGTGAGTGAGCAAGAGACCCAAGGCCTTTGAAGGACACTACGGAAACATCAAGAATTAACATAGAGGGGGCTGGGGCTGAAGCTCAGTGGAAGTGCACTTGCCCGGTATGTGTGAGGCACTGGATTCCATTCTCAGCACCACATAAAAATAAATTTAAAAAAGGTCTGTCAACAACTAAAAAAATATTTTTTAAAAAAAGAGTTAACACAGCATATGTATATCATATGTATATGAGAGAGAGAATGGGGGTGGGGGGAAAAAGAGAGAAAACACAATTTCAGAAATAAGTTGGCCAGGGCTGGGGATGTAGCCCAGTGGTAGAACGCTTGCCTGGCATGTGCAAGTCCTGAGTTCAATCCCCAGTTCCACAAAAAAAAAAAAAAAAGAAAGAAAGAAATTGTCCAAATAAGCTATCAGAGATTTACAGGATTTGGTTTCCAATTCTGAACTTCACCTGGCAAAATGTCACATTTTCTCAGTTTTCACAAATGGAGACAAGCATCCTTTGATCCCAGTGTTAGGCCTCATGAGCTCTGTGAGCCTGGCAGGAGCACTGATCCCGATTGCTGATGCCCACTGAATGCCGGTTGGGTGCCAGGCACTCTTCTAACGCGTGTATGAGAATGAGTGTGGTGTTCTCATTAAGCCTCACTGTTGCCTGATAGCACATAGGTCCTGTCCTTTATCCCCATTTTACAGATGAAGAAACTGAGGTGCAGGGAAGTAAAGGAAGTTTGCAGGACCATAGAGATATTAAGTGGTGGTGCCAAGGTTTGGACCCAGGCGGGGTGCCCCAGAGTCCATCCTTCAACCATACCACTATGTGGTCCAGCTTCTTAACTTCCTTAAACCTCTCTGTGTCCTCCTGTATCAGATGTGGGTGACAGTTTTTATACTTCAGGGCTGTTGAGTGGATTAAGCGTTCTGAAGAGTGTGAAGCATTAAGCCTGGGAGTGAAAATAACCAGTAGGGACTGTGAATGGGCAGTGCCACGTCACGTATATGTTGACATGAACGAGGGTGATAGGGCAGGGACAGGGTCCTAAGTCCAGGTCAGAGCTTCATCCCTACAGTCACGAGTCCCTGTGCTGCAGAAGGCTTCAGGACACCCACCCCGCGCTGCTGGTGCTCTGCAGCCTCCTCAGCCCCACGAGGTGGGGGTCTTCTGACTTCTGGTGATGAAGCCTGGGGCTTAGAGATGAAAAGCGCCTTTCACTTAGGGAGAGCCTGTCTCAAAATAAAACATAAAAAGGACAGGGGGATGTGACTCAGTGGTTAGACTCTTCAGGGTTCAGTCCTTGGTACTAGCGGGGGAAAGCATTTGTTTGTGGAAATACTGCTAATAAGTAGGAGAAGTGGGATCTGAACATGGAGAGCCCTGGGCACTACACTCATGGTCAGAGCCCCGGTCCGCCCCACGTTCGCTCCTCTGCTGTTCCCGCAGCCTCCATCCCAGCCATCTCCAGTTTCCACTGGCGCAGTTCCCTACCTGGAATACTACCTCTTGTTGCCACCACTTGTAAAAACTCTCTCCATGACTCATGAACTGGCCCACATGCCACCAACACCATGAGCTCTCCAGTTCCAAGTGCAAACTCTAATGTTATCTCCAGTTTCTTGGAAGCTCCTGCGGTCTTTTATTCCCCCCTATTCTCCATACTTGCTGGAGTGGGGGGACCTTAAGGGCTCGACCTCACAGCACCCACAGCCCTAGAACCAAGCCCTGTCACAGTGCGTTCCCCGTCGGCTTGTGTGCTGCTGGGGCTGCAGGACAGGCGGGTGGTGCAGAGGGGCCACTCAGAGGCCCTTGGCCCTTTTGAGGAGTCAGGAGCCTAGAACAAGACACCAGCGTGTCTGTCTGGATTAGGGACCTGGGATCTGTATTCTAGTCATATAGCTATTGTTTTAGTCAGCTTTTTCACTATTGTGACGAAACGACCTGGCAACAATAATTTTAGAGGAGGAAAAGTCTATTTAGGGCTCATAGTTTCAGAGGTCTCAGTCCATAGATGGCCAACTCCATTTCTTTGGCCCTGAGGTGAGGCAGAGCATTATGGCAGAAAGGTGTGGAAGAGGAAAGCAGCAGCCAAGGGCATGGTACCAGGAAGCAGAGAGAGAGAAAGAGCTCCACTCTCCAGGGATAAAATATATACTCCAAATGCATGCCCTAGTGACCCGCCTCCTCCAGCCACACCCTACCTGCCTACAGTTACCACCCAGGGCATTAAGACACTGAGTAGAATAACTCTCATAACCCAATCGTCTCACCTCTGAATTTTCTTGTCTCACCTCTGAACTTTCTTGCATTGTCTCACACATGAGCTTTTGAGAGACACCTAATATCTAACCCATAACAGCTATATATGTGACAGTAACTAGGAAGTGTGTCTGTTACAGAGTAGTGCACTGATACCTCTGTTTGTTTGGTTATTTATTTGCAGTACTAGGGATTAAACCTGGGGCCTCATGCTTGTTAGACAAGCACTCTGCCTCTCAGTTGCTTCCCCACTGCACCAATTGATACTAGTTTTGAGTTATTGTGTCCTGATATTATGGTTGTTGCTCTCCTTTGTGTTGTAACTGAGTTGTTTTATTTTGGGTTTGGATTTTTTTTTGAGGGGGAGGGGTTGCTGAGGATTGTACCCAGGGGTCTCAAGCAAATTAGGCAAGCACTGTTCTACTAAGCTACAACCCTAGTCCTTACCTGAGGTATCAACCAGGAGTATGCATAAGAATCTTGGTGGAATGTTATGAAGATACAGAATGTCAGATCTCCCCCGCACCAGGTCTGCTTGATTTAGATTCTCTAGAATATGGGACCCTTTTTTTTTTTTTTTAATTAGGGACTGAACCCAGGTGCACTTAACTTCAGAAACACATCCCCAGCCCTTGTTATATTTTTAAATTTTGAGGCAGGATCCCACTAAGTTGCTGAGCACCTCGCTATGTTGCTGAGGCTGGCTTTGAACTCCCAATTCTCATGCCTTGGCTTCCCCAGCCACTGGAATTACAGGCCTGCCCCACCTCATCCAGCAAGTCACTTTTAAAGTTCTAAGAAACCAGTGCCATTGGTACCTTCCAGGGGAGAAAGGAGACAGGGAGACTGCCTGAGTACATTATCTCTTCAAAAAATAAAATGATGAGCATATTCAAACACTGTTTGCAGCTCATGTTCACATGCGTATTTGTCTAGAGGAAATTAGTAAAATGTGCCTGGGAATGGTAGCTCACTACTGAGGGCGGGTGTTGGAGAGGTGGAAGGGCAAGAGTTTGGTTCCATTTGTAATATTTTATTAACGTCTATTAAAAAGAAAGATTCAAAGCAAAATGGCAAAACCTGTTCAGTTTGTCCAGTGAGTATGTCAATGTCTGTTGTATTCCGTTTGAAAGATTTCATGGTTCAAAGCAAATATTTAAAATGAAAACAAAGTAAAAGTCAAAAATATTCCAGGATCGCTCTGCTGTGCTCCAGGTGAGCTGCCCAGAGCTGGCTCGGCCAGGTGACGTGCTGATCTTCAGTAAGGAGGCATCCTCGGGGGCTTTCTTCATGCTCATCACACAAGTAACACAGGAAACTTAAGGAGGGTCTGCGGGGTCCCTGGCGTGGGGTCCCTGTCTTAGGTTCTCGTCTCCTTGTGTTTCAGGTGTTTGTGGCCAGTCCTCACAAAACCCAGCCTATTGTGGAGATTCTGTTAAAAAATCAACCCAAACTCATTGAGTTTCTGAGCAGCTTTCAGAAGGAAAGGACAGATGACGAGCAGTTCACCGATGAGAAGAACTACCTGATTAAACAGATCCGAGACTTGAAGAAACCGGCCCCCTGAAGACAGTTTCCTGCCATGGTCATGTGTCCCCTTTGCCCAGTTCGTACAATGTCATATCAAAAAGTCATCATTCTTGGGGAGGCTTTGGAGGTGCCTGTTTTTTCTTAACTACTTGTTCAGGGTGGATGGAATATAAACATTTGAATGGAAAAAATTAATCTAGAATAATATATTCATTTTAATTAAGTCTGTGATTATTTATGTGAAATCAGAGCCATTGTATTAGAAGTTGATGGATGAGTCATCACAGAGGAGCTCAAATGTCAGGCTCCTTGGAGTCCTGGGGTGGGGTGGGGGGACTAAGGGTGTGGCCAGGATGTGGGAAATCCCTCTGCCCATCTGTACTTGAGCAGATTTCTTAAGGTGCAGGAAGATGCCAGAGGACAAGGCGACTGGTGTCAGTCCTGGGTGTGCTTTTGTCTCTGCCCTGTATATCATTGTCATCTCCCCACCCCACCCAGGACTGGGGATTGAATCCCGGACCTTGCAGATGCTAGGCGAGTGCTCTGCCAGTGGTTACATACCACGCCCTGCCCAGGATGCTGACTATAATTAATGGCTTCCCACCTCTCAGCTCACTTTCTGCTCACTGTCCCACGTTCCATCCCATGCCCAACCCATGGCACCCACTCCAGCTGCAGTGGGTCAGCAGGGAGCAACCAAGTAGGATCAGGGTGGGTCAACAAGGGCTGTGATGTATATAAAGGACCCACAGGGCGGACCTGCTCACAGGAGAACTGCAAACAGGTGGTTCCAGACAAAGTCACTGCTGTTCCATGTTGACTTCTGGAGGGTCAGTGATTGGAGTATTTCATTCATAATTGTCACTATGGAATGAATGTTTATGGTGACAGTGTATTTTTAAATGAGTAGAAATCATTGCATTGGAATTGTAGTGGGTACAAACCATAGGTCCAGAGGGTCACAGTAGGGGACTTCTACCAACAGGCGACATGGCCCATGGAAAGGCAAATGATTCATACATGAAAAAAAAAAAAAAATTCAAATGACTAAAGGTTCTTTTTTCCCCCAGTTGTGACATTCTGTCACTATTAAGAAGTCGTCTGTGAAAAAGTAAATCTAAAAACTTTGGTTCCAAATGCTCTCTTACATTCCAGGATAATTAAGGAGTTAATCTATGTTCCTTTGAAAGGTCTAGAAACTAAAGATAAATAAGTTTTTTAAATGTTATGACTTGTTTTCAGACATCAAATATATAAAATTAAATTTTCAAGCTATTTCTAGAACATGAAGGGTACAATGGCTACTCTGTGTTTTCTATGATTCTGTTTCTAAATCATGAGCTGTTCCCTTCTATGGGAACTCTCAAATTTTACAAAACTTGGGTGCTGTGTTCTTTCCTTCAGCCAGAGAGTTCTCCACCCAGAGAGGGGAAAGAAATGCGTTGTCTAGGATCAGTGCCCTTGGTAGATTTTGTACCTGAAGAATGACCTGGCAGGGCATGTCCCTTCCTGGCTGGGGTATAGGAGCCCTGAGGCAGATGGTCTGGGTGGGACCTGCCACACCTTCTCATAGCAGCTCTGGCATGTGCCAGCAAGAGGGTCTGTGCCAGCTCCTGAGGACCTGGGTTTTCTGGTCACTGAAGTCACATTATTTTAATAACACTCCCTGGAAGTCCAAAGTCCCTTAGAATTTGGCTTTTCTGGGTTTGCTTATTTGATTAAAAGAGATGAGTGCAAATATTTTTAAAGGAAAATGAAATAACCATTGGAAATGTATTTGGTTGCTTAATGATGTTACATAACATCATGGGACACATGTTTTTCATTGAAAACTAAAACTTTATTATAATTTATTTTTACAAAGAAAATATTTTATTTTCTCTGGGCTTGAGTTAGCTCTTCCCTAGTGTCCCCTTATCGTTACTCCGTACCTGTCAAAAAGAAAACTAGTTTCCCACATGGTAAATGAAGTAGCTGGGGTTTTGCTGTGATGTGAGTTTGTAAATTATTAACTCAAAAGGGGAACAGGAAGCTCACCGTCAAACTGTTTGCACAAAGATCACTGTAAATATTGTGAGAATTGAATTTTGAAAAGGTCATATTTAATAATCTATTTCTAAAGCACATGTTAAAGACTGACTAAATAAAAAGATCCCACACACACTGGTCGGTCTCATTCCTCTACGTGTGGGTCATGCCGCTGTGTTCTTGTCATTGCTCCAAACAGCAAAGGCCCCAGGCTTGAGGTTGAACCAGGCTTGGTGGGGTTCTGAGACCCGGTGCACATTCCATCAGCCAAGTGTTGATAACTGCCCACAACCAAATGCCACCTGCCTGACACTAAATCTACACATTCCATTATCAATACTCACTGTGGCTGAGACTCATTCCCATGAAATATTTGAGGACATGGGGGTTCTGAGCAGCTTGACTATCCCAGCCATAATGGAATGTGCTAGATAGAGACCGAAAGTGGCTGGAAGCCCAACTCCTGCTCTTTTTCCCTTCTTCATCCTTCTAGACCCTTCAGAACTAAGAAGGCTCAGGGTGTTGGGGACTACATGGTGCTCTCCCTTCTGCTGCCTGGAAGGCTCCAAGAGGTCTTGGAGTGAGGCCGGCAGGGACTGAGATCACAGTGTTCTAGGACAGGGCTCTCAGCTACAGCCAGGCGTCTGCCCAAAGGTTAGCCCTGCTCTTGGAGAAAAGACTGGGCAGCACACACCCCTTGTAAAATAGGTTCTGGTTCCCGTCCTCATGGGTTCTCATCCTCTGATGGCTTGGGGAGGGGTGGGGGCAATATGTACACCCAGGGAGGGGCTGTACGCATCTCAAAACCTTCATCACACGCCTTTCCCATGAGACACAGCTGCTGTGAGACACACTGGAGTCTGGAAATTACACAAGACCTAGAAATTGCACAAGACCTGGAAGTGACTGTGAAAATGTGAAGGGAAATGGAATTAAAAAATAACTAGAATGGCTTTTAATGTGAAAAGATAGTTCTTTCATTCACAGGCCTTGCTAGTCTCTTATATTAGAGGAAATTAATATTTTATGTCTTTTATTTCTTTTTCTACTTTATCCAAAAGAACATTATTCATCTGCCATAAATAGTCACCATCTTTGTGTAGGTGTTCTTTCAGGAAGATTCGGGGCACTTAAGGGAGTACTCACAAATAAAGGTCTGAAACCCACACCATAAGGAGAGCTTGAAAAGCTAGACTCAGTCTGCCTTCGAAGAGCAAAACAGGTTGAAGATGGATGTGAACATGGAAGTGATGTTTGTTTTTTTGATACCAGGGATTGAACCCAGGGGTGCTTAATTACTGAGCCCCATCCCCAGCCCTTTTTTATTAAAAAAAAAAAAATTTATTTAGAGACAGGGTCTTGCTGAATTGCTCAGTGCCTCACTAATCTGCTGAGACTGGATTTGAACTTGCAATCCTCCTGCCTCAGCTCTGAGAGTTGCTGGGATTACAGGCATGAGCCACCATGCCTGGCAAGGTGATGTGTTTTTGAAGTCTGAAAAATGCTGGCTTGTGGCTACAATTGTCATAGGAAAGCCGAGAGCTGAAACTCCAAACCTTGGTTCTTATGTTCCAACAGAAGAAAATTTAATCAGACACCAAAAGCCATGCAAGAAAACTTAATTATAAAGTACAGTACAAACAAAGTGAGGCTCAAGCAAAGAGAATGAGAGAGAGAGAGAGAGAGAGAGAGAGAGAGAGAGAGAGGTCATTTCCAAGCAACAACAAAGGAGACAATGCTGTCTTCAAATTTATTACCGTTTGATGTTTACCTGGAGATCTGGGGACCACCTTCAGTACTCTTTGCCAATCAGCGTTCAATCCTCCTTCAGTCAGGTGGTGGAGTTTTTGACCTTAGTGGGTCCTCTCCAGAACTGTCATGGTGGCCATCCTGCTGTATCTATAAGTCAATCCCATGTTAGTGTGGGCATTGGGGTCAATAGCCGGTCAGACATTATCTTACTGTGCCTGTGCTATTAAAGGAACCTTCCTTCCTAGACAAACAGAGACACCCATAGCCATAATTCTTAGCTTTACACTAACCTCAGTGGCCCCTGTCAAGAGTTAGTCCCATTAATCCTTTTCTTTTGATGTATTATCCCATTAGCTCCTTGGCTTCTGTTTATTTTCTACAAATTAACTCCCACCCTTTGGCTTTCTCAGCCATTTTTATAGTAGTTTAAAGAAGACCCTAAAGTAATTTAAAGAACACTTGTGACCTTGCCATGCACCTAGCGACTACCCAACACCATGATTAAAGGCAAAGCAGAATGCAATTATGAGCCCTGCCTGCACTCAACCCTGAGATGGCTCAGTCAAGTCCCCACTTTACAGAGAACATGGAGCTCAGAGAGCATCAATAGCATGCTCCCAAACAGCTGACACTGAGTCAAGGTCAGGTCTGACCCCAAAGTCCGAGTCGGGGAACCTGTCCAGGCTGCTGCCCATGTCTCCTACTCAGTTCCTCAGCTGTTCAGCTCTCCCCACCTGGAACAGGTACCTCATTTCCTCATGGCCCAAGAAGAGGGAATCCAGGTGCCAGGCCTACCAGGTAACTCAGCAGAAAGAGTTTAGAAGTTAGATTCATTCAAGAACTTTTCACTTGGTTTTCTGATGTTTGGAAAATCAAATTAGACCTCAATGTAGGGCAGAGGCATTTGATCTTGAATTTCTCCATCATTTTGAGCAATCCTTGTCCTCCACAGAGGCAGGCATTGATTTCAGACTGCAATCCTGCACTTGCTGTGTTTTCTTGGCTTGCTTCATCAGTTGGACATTACAGTAGCCTAGATTTCCTGATAGGACCGGTTGACGCCTGGTCAGCCATTCCTCCATTTCACGTTCCTCAGCGACCCAGAGCCATGGGGCTGCCTGGAGGCTGAGGGTCATGATGAATGTACATCAGATTTCTCCTGGGCCACCTCCTTCCCTCATCACTCCCTCCTCCAGAAGGAGGACGTGCAGTTACCTTAGAGTAAAGTCACCACAAACACAAAGTCACACCCTTTGCCACCAGTTAATTCAATATAACATCATTTAATCACTGCATTGTGAGCCATCTGTGTTATTTTAAAATGCTGTGACCAGTGCTCACTTAGGCAATGCATATCCTTAAAAATTGGAAGGACACAGCTGTAGGCACACAAGTGTAATCCCAGCAAGTCAGGAGACCAAGATCATAAGTTCAAGGACAGCCTTGGCAACTTAGTGAGGCTTTTGTCTCAAAACATAAGGAGTGGGGATGTAGTTCAGTGGTTAAGCACCCCTGGGTTCTGTGATACCAAAATTCATAAGGAAGATAAACACGGCTCCTGTGCAAAGATGACATGCAAATTTGCAAAATGTTCCATATTTTTTTTTCTCATGTGCAGAAGCTAGAGAGATCAAAGAAAGAAAGGGATCTCACAAAAACAGAAGAGAGACCAGTAGAGGAGGGCAATTGAGGAAAAGGAAGGAAAAGAGGAAAAGGGGAGGTTGGTACTAGGGAATTAAATCAATCAAATTATTGATTGCATGTGCATGTGCATGTACAAATATATATCACAATCAATCCACTTTTATGAATGATTATACTGCACCAATTTAAAAATAGAAGGGAGACTAGTAGAGTAGAAGATCTGGGGAAGGGAAAGGGGGGAGGTACTAGGAAATATTTTTTTTTTTAATAAAACACTGTGATCATATGAGTCTTTTGGGAAAACATGTTGCAATAGACACTAATAGTTTGTCTTTTAGGGAAGGTTGGGAAAAAATAAAATTGCCTAATTGTAGTTCTGAAATTCAAAACTTAAAAAAAAAGTAGCCAAAATACTCAAACACAAATCTATTCATTCATCTAACACCAGTTGAACTCTTTCTCCCTACTGGTTAGGGATGTATCCAAGGAAAAGAGCCACTGAGTGACACTCTGGAGTTACCATAGGGGGCAGATGTGGGGTGGTGGTGGGAGTGGAGCGGTCACTAGTGGCTGACCCATAGAACAGCAGCACCATTCACTTCAGGGACCCCAGCTGGGCCTGGATTGGGAGAAGCTGAGAGAGCAGGTTGAAGGGAACAGGAAACCCGGTCCACAAAGGAACCCAGCAGGTCTGTGACAACATGGGGCAGCTGTGACCACAGCAGCCCCACCTCTCTTCTCCACTCAGGTCTGACCTGACTTGCTTCATTACATTCAGAAGAGAGACTTCTGGAAATGTGCTGCAGCTCAGCTGAACCAATGTGGTGGGAACCCACCACAGGTGCTCTGGGGAGGGAGGGGATTATTAGCATGTCCTCTTACTGTCCTTTTCCACTGCAAGGAATTCAGACCTTTTTTTTTCCTTTTCAATGACATCTACTCATGAGACATTTGTGCTAAGCAAACAGAATGGCTTGGACTTGGGCCACAGCCACACCCAGATTTCAATCCTGGCTCTGCTACTAGCTATTTGACCTCAAAAATCTCTGAGCTTCAGTTTTCTACCTGGAAAATAGCGGAGGGAGGGCGGGGGCAAGGACCTGCCTCACAGGATTGTTGTGGGTGTTGGTAAAGATGGCGCCCGGAGCACTTCTCTTCCAGGAGCTCAGGTCCATGAGGCACTGAAGGCGCCTGAACCATCACCTCCAATCCCTGTGAATGGCGCGAACTTTGAATGGCGCATCTCCAATCCCTGAAGTGGCACGAACTCTCAGCCAATGAAGAAGTAACAGCCCACTCGCCTTGCTCCTCCTCATCCTGCGTTAAGCCCATAAATATCAATACCCTGTTCGTGTTTGTTCTCTTACCCTCTCTTACTCTCTCCCCCCTCCTCTCTCTCTCCCCCCTCTCCCCCATCTCCTCTCTCTCCCCGCTCCCCTTCACTTCTGCGACTGACCGCTAAGATCCTGCTAATAAAATCTCGGACAGGTAAACTGTTGTTTTGGTTTGTTGAGTTTATACGGAGCTTTTCCATCGTCCTTTACAGTAGGAATCAAAGAGAATAAAGCCCGTGACAGCCCGGCTCACGGCCCCTGTGCCTATGGCATCTCCCTCCCAGGAGGGAGAGAGTGAGCTCCGGAGCCATGTGAAGGTCACGGCTGTGAAGCATGTGGTGGCCAGGAAGGAGGTGTGAGCTTGGTGCAGGGCGTGTGGACACCTGGAGGGGCG